GTTTTGAAGGCAAAGGGTGGTCACATCAAATATTGATTTGATTTGGGTTTTTCTTCTGTTCTTTGCATTTTGTAAATTGATAAACAAACAATTACAATATAGTACTGTACTGTATATGACATCCAAAGTTTGAATTTCTCTTAATGTAAGATTTTAAAAATAGATCCGTCTTGTCATAAGAAGAATGGATTTTTTTATTTGATAGAAACTTTTATTTTAATCGATGATTATTACACTGACTACTTTTGATAATTATTGATCACTGATCTGATTTCAATAATAATTAAGACTATTTTATCCAGTATGCAAATCTTTTTATTTTTTTCTGGGTTTTTTTCCCTTCTTTCTTAATTGTTATTAAATATTTGTTAAAATAAAAATAATTTATAGAAACAAATATGTTCCCTAAGTTGCCCCATATGGTGCATCACTGAATCTGCAGCTCCTTGTGGGGACCAAATTGTTGCCAAAACTTGCTCGTCACTGTATGAGAGGATCAAAAACAGGTTGGGAGAAGCTCTTCAAAACCCCAAAGAACTGCTGCAAATCAGAGCAGATAATCTGAACTAGATTGGCCAACAGTTGATCTGTTAGAAGGCAGTACCACAGACTTAGCAAATCAATAGAGCTGAAGCAGTTTGGTACAGAAATAAGACAGTTTGCTTACGTTTGATTAAAACAAGTAGAAACTTCTAATGTAAAAAAAAAGTTTTAGGACAAGCAGTGCTATGTTCTATTCAACATGAGTAAGGGACAGAGGCTGTTCTTCACCACAACTACTGTGGTGAACTGTGCCTAAACTTTCCAAGCTCCAGCTGAGTTTTATTTTTAATAAATACCTTTTTTCTTTTATCAGTTTAAAATAAAGTAGGAAATCAATACAATCAGAGAAATACCGACACATTATCATTCAGCAGAAATCCCTGCTAGAGGAACTGGACCAAATGTTAAACACCAAAATATAAGTCCCATCACTGCAAACAATCAAGCAGGCCTATAGACCCATTTGTCTTTTCTTAAATAAGGATCTTCTCAGGGTGCAGTATATATACCATCTATATAAACTACTGCAAATTTACTGTACTAAATGGACGTTATAATTAGTGGTGTTGTTGGTTCTGGATTTCAGTATTCATTTTAATAATATTCCATTTGTACTGATTTTAAATTGTGAATGTTACTGCACACCTCCTAGTTTAGGAAGCACACAACCTGCAAGATTAAGACAATTTTATCCTAACCTCTAGGAGTAGCCCCACCCAAATGTTTCTCCAAATACCAATAACAACTCACACTCAACTTATTCCTGCTTCAGATTAGCACCCGAACTGGAATTCCTGACGTTTGCTATGAGATCAAGGAACTATCTCTGACTTCCCTCCCATCCATGCCCTCTTTGTATTCTTTGTTTCAGTCATTTCTGCAGCTCACTGGTTTTCACCGCTTACTGTTTATACTTCTCCCATTTTCTTCCTTGCTCTTTATGTCTGCACACCTATGTGATGTGCATGGAAGAAAGACAGTAGTGCCTGAGGTGTATATATAGCTTTCTTTCAATGCACCTTTTCCCCAAAACTGATTGTTTATTTTTTTATTTGTAACTGGGCCTCTGTATAATTGAAGGATTCTCCTATTGCTGGCTAATTTTTATTTTTTGTGCCTTCAAGTCTGTGTTGACTCCTGGCACCTACCTGGACAAGTCCCTGCAGTCTCCTCGGCGAGCTTTCGAAAGTGGTTTGCCCTTGCCTGCTTCTTAGGGCCAAGAGACAATGACTGACCCAAGGTCATCCAGCTGGCTTCATGCCTAAGGTGGGACTAGAACTCATGGTCTCCTGATTTCTAGACTGATGTCTTAACCACTATACCAAACTGGCTCTCTTGCTGGAAAGGTGGAAGAGGAGGAACGCAGAGTGCAGGAATTACAGTAATTACAAATGTGGGCAATGCAGACAATTATTTTCCCAGTACCCCATGGTCATCACAAGGAAGCGTAGAGACTGCTGGTCAAAGAGGCTTCCCCCCAGGCTTGGGCTTCCTCAGTGTATATACTTGGAAATCCCTGCTTAGTGGTTGCAGAAAACTAGGAATCTAGAAGCTGTTTGCTTAGAGAGTTATGGGGGAGGGGGTTTCCTTGAACAGGATCTATAATAAGCAAACAGGTGTACATACATATGTATGGTGGGGAAGAGTAAAATTGCTTAACTATACAAAAGTAATGAACATAATATTTAGTATTACACAGAGATTTTTTAATTTAAATGTTTTTCATAGCCATACTCATTTTCTACAATGCAGTCCCTAGCACACCACACAAACATTAATATAGTCCATGGTCCAACCAAAGTTGCACATTCTTAGTTTAAAAATTATGAGCTTCCCCAACCAGGACAACTGCCAAGTATACATCAGAGTATCATATGCCTTTTCAAAAGTTTCTTATCCAGCAAGTAATCTTTTCATGTAATTAATCAGAATGACCAAAATCCTTTCCAATAGTTACACCCACTCCTCATTTAGTGAAAACCTCAGTTAGCAACCATTCACAAATCTGACAGTAATAAAAAAATCATTTTCTGACCAATGTACACATTTACAACCAAATTTCATCTGCCTGACAACGCATGACAGAGTAAGAGTAATGTTGGCATAGCTGTATGAGATAACTTTATCTGAATGAGACGGCAGCAACCAGTGATCTTTGCAGAGTCTGTGTGCCATGTATTCACTTAGCGACCATTTCACTTAATGACCTGGTCACTGGAATGGAATTTGGTCACTAAACAAGGAGCGGGTATACAGGTAGTCCCCAGTTTAAGAATGAGTTCCATTCCCAAGGTCTGTCTTTAAGTCAAATTTATATGTAAGCTGGAAT